TGTCACCAATGCTCCAGAGCATTTTCCTTAACATCTCCTGCAGGTGATACAGGTAACGCTCCCTCACTTTGTGTGTGTTAAAGCTGTTTCCAGTTCACCAACTGCAGGGGACAGCAAGGGCAGGAACGGAAGGTGGGAGGAAGGCTGGGACTAAGATGGGGGGAGAAGAAAATGTGGGACAGGAAAATGGAAGGGAGCAGAATGAGGAGCAAAGAGCCTCTGCTGGAGAACTGTTACTCCTAGTTATATATAAAATTTCCAACAGAAAGTGATTATACATAAGTTATGGCTCCCCTACCAGTCTCTTCTGTGCATGTGATGTTCTTCAAAGTGATAAAGTGCAAGCAGTATTCTCTGTCCACCTGTACAGTGGTGGTACAGTGTGGTCAGATGGCACCACAGCTGTTGAGATACCAGTGAGCTTTAACTTCACTGGTCCTCTGAAGTACCTTTGTGTATTTAAATGGGGGGGGGGGGAAAGGTTCTTTCTCATAGGCTACAAACATCTTTTCCTTTTGAACAGGACTTATTGGATCATTCCTGCACATCTGGAAGTGGTTCTGGACTTCCTTTCTTGGTGCAAAGAACAGTAGCTCGCCAGATCACGCTTGTAGAGTGTGTGGGTGAGTATGAATCTTGGTCAGGTCTAGTGCCAAGTTTTGGTGACAAATTCAGAGAGAACACTTTCTCTTTCATCCTAATTACCTGATTTTCCTCAGTTGCTTGTATAATATCTGAAGCTTTTCAGGGTTCACATTACAGAACATATTTGGCTTTTGAAAGGGAAGTGAGAAAATTCCTTTCAGGTCTATGCAGAAGAAAGGGACATATATTATCTGTGCCTTGTGACTGAAGAAATTCAAGCTTTCTTCATTAAGGTGACATTAGAAGGCACAAACTTGGCTTGTTTGGATCCTTTGTAAGAGAAATAAACTGTGCTTTTAGAAAACTAAGCTCAATTTTAAATTTGAAACTGTCAGACTGTGAAATAAACATTTGTTCATTAAATGATGTTCAATTAGAAAGCTTTAGAATCGGGAAAGGATGATCTGGATTTGAGATCAGGAGTTGAAGTATCAAGCAAAGTGGCATTTTAAAAAGTGGTGATTCTGTGCAGTGTGCGTGGAAACATGAGTGTTTTTGTAGCTTACTTGACTCTAGGGGATCCTGCTCTGGCAATGGGGTTGGACTAGATGATCTTTCAAGGTCCCTTCCCACCCCTGACATGCTGTGGTACTTGCTCTGCAGTGGTGCTTTGGGACCCTGCAGGCAGTGGGGTGCTGTTGCTGCTCTTCCCCTAAAAGAGAGAATCTTTCTAGTAATTCTTTACTAAAACTCTTCTGGGTCTTTAGTTTTTTTCAGGACTTCAGTGTTAGTTTTGAAGGACCCATTACATTTCTCCTTAGCATGTATATCCTGTTGTTTGAATGATATTAAATTTGAATGTAGTATTTTCAGAAGCATTTGTGTCAAGGCAGTTGTTGAGCAAAGATGCCACACTGGCACTACAGGGTTGGGGAAGGCATGGTAGTGATTGATGCTATTAGAGAGGGGGGAAAAAAAACCCAAAACAAAACACTATTTTAAAGATGCTTTTTATGCTGCTTCTTCAGTGATTTGAACTCAGAATGGGTTAACACTTTCCTGCAAGTCACTAGAAGTTTTAGCTCATTAGGGTGTTAAATCAAGCTCCAGACTGAACCAGATTAATCCATAGGGACTGGGCCCACGTGTTACCAGTGTTTCTTTGCTGCTGGCTCCTAAGATGTCTGGAGTAGGCACAGATGTTCACTGTTGCATAGAACCTGGGTGTGCATCCTCTGGAGATCTGCAGTTTCTCTTCATCAGGAGCTGTGCAACATGATACACATGATGATTTTGCCTGGGATATAGACCTGCCTTTGCTTTTGGATAGCATGCCTGGAATGCTGCCTGCTCCCAAGTGTGCTTGGGGGGCCCTGTTTCCAGACCCCCATGTTCCAGCCTGGGGAGCAGCACCAGATGTGCCACCTGTGCCTGCAGTCTCTGCTGGGTGACAGCATCCAGGCAGGGGTGTGGGTACATCTCCTCGTTTGGGAGGAGATGCTGCTTGGTCCATGGGTGCAGCTGAGGAGCTCAGAGCAGCAGCGCCAGGAAGGCCCCGTTTAGGTATTTGTAGCTGTCACATCTGGCACCATGCACTGCTCCAAGGGGAAAGGGTAGATCAGAACTTTCCACTGTGCCTTGTCTGGGATGTTGTTTTGCTGTTGGTGATTTCATACATTTTCCTAAACTGGGTAAAGAGCTTGGCATGCAGACATTGTGCCCTGATCTCTGCAGGATGGGGTGGGTTTTGGTGTTTTGGGTTTTTTGTGGGTTTTTCTTTATCCTTTTTTCTTTGTGGATGGGTGTTCTTGGTAGTTGAATAATGACACCTGCCCAGTACAAACACTTTGTGTACTGTACCAGCATGCAAGGAGAAGACACTTGTGCTCTCAGAGCTTTCAGTTTAAACAAACAGGAAAAATCGAGGGACACTGGAGCTCAGCATAAGTGTAAAAGCAGTAAAGGTGGATGCAGGTTTGACCAAACTGCATCAGTGTGATATTTGGGACATACCTGTCAAATTTCCATCCTATGAGCCCATCCTGTCCTTCCACCCTAAGATGATTTTATTGTGCTTTTTCTCCCGCCAGGAAAGGGCCGTTACGGAGAAGTTTGGAGGGGTCAGTGGCAGGGAGAAAATGTTGCTGTGAAGATCTTCTCTTCTAGGGATGAAAAATCCTGGTTCAGGGAAACAGAACTGTACAACACTGTATTGCTGCGGCATGAGAACATTTTAGGTGAGTAGAACAACCACACTGGTGTTTCTTAGTGTAGCTGGAGTAAAGGTGAGTCAACTCAACAGTTCACTTGCAAAGCACTGCACACTTGATGGGAGGCTTGCAGTCCTTGAGATTAGGCTTTTGTGTCTGTGGTAAATAGTTGCAGGGAAATGTTAAGGGGGACACCTGCAGGAAGGTGCTGAAGTCTTGAGTCTCAACTGGAGAAAGTGCTGTAGCACCTGTGAATCACTGTCAAACTAAGCTCCTTTGGTGGTTAAACTTCTGCTATAGTTGCCCCCTTATTTTGTATTTAATTTTCCTGTAAATAAAAATGTACCAGGATTTTGAATCTTCTCCATCCCTTGTACCCTGTGTGCTGAGTTAGAGAACTTAGAAAATGGCTTTTTTGTGTTGTGAAGTTGAAGTTGAAGCAGCCTTTTTGATCCCCAGTAGGCATGACCTTCTTTCACTCATGTGCCACCTTTACAGATAAAAGCAGCAGCATGTTTTCTGTGTGCTGACATTACCTCACCCACAACCTGTCTGTCTTCAATCAGTTTTACTTGGGCTTCTGTTCTTGTTTCCTGTCAGAGAGTATTCCTTGGCTCAATAGCTCACTCTGCTAGACATTTGTCTAATGTTTCCTGAAGCAGTTCCTTTGTTACTACAAAAAGAATTTGGTGGCCTCCTGAAAAGAGAATTATTGAACTTTCCTTCCCGAGGGAGCAAGTAGCTTGGCTGAAATCACATTACATACTTCCCATGTTCCTCTGTCTGGGTTTAGTCTTTCTTGATAACTGTCAAATTTCTTGGCTATTCTGTAGAGTTTTTTTAGATGCAATGTTAAACAACATCACAGATTACAAACGTGTCACATTGTGCAGAAACCTGACTTCAGGAGGGAAACTAGTGGGTGTCCTTTCTGAAAATGTCATATGTGGGCTTTTAATAAACATTATTTTTTCCTGTAACTTGGGATAAAAGTTTTGTTCTTCCCAGCTAAATCTGTCGAGGTCAAGAGTGTGCTGATACATTGGAAGATCAGAGGTAGCAGGAAGAGAGCTACTCCTGAATTTTGGGTTCATTTTTAAGGCACGTTTTTGAAAACAGTTCTTGAGGTTAATGCATTTCAAAGACATTTTTCCCTGTTCCTTTGTAGAAAATTATGGTGAAATACAGCTGTCAGGTGCTCTGGCTTACTTCACCATGGAAGTAAGTTGCACATCAGTTAAACTGCCTAGTATTTAAAGTAGAAGAGTTACTGTTGTTTGTTTTTTGGATGCTAGTCTTCTGGGGCAGCTGCAGTCTCCTTGCCCATCTGCCACTTCTTGTATCCAGTGGCTGTCCCATGGCTCTATTGTGAGCTGGTGTTCAGGTAGGAGGGTCAGGCATTTGGAGCCTGCAGCAGCTCAGAGCAGTTCTTCAGGTCTGGTACTTTGTCAGGCTGCAGCAATCCCTCTGCAGTCTCCTAAACAATGGGAGCTCCTTGGAGAGCCAGTTGGTGCTGTGATGAGATGTTCTGCTTCAGTCTCTGGTCAGCAGGGTGTCACGTTTCCTCGGGGAACAGCAAGAAGCTTCTGATGGTTGAAGTGTTCCTTATAGGCTGGCCTTGGGTATGAGTGTGAATCTGGCACAACACAGTGTCTGTTGGGGTGTGATATGGGTGTGAAACAGGTTTAACCCTTTCTTCAGCCGCCAGCACTGGCTGCTTGTCCGTTGTCTGTTGGAGGTGTTGCTTCTCTCCAGTGTAACCCTGTTAAGTGGGCAACAGCAGATGTGCTACAACCTTCCCAAGTCCTTCAAAATGAAGAAAGAAAGGGAGTAGTAGTGTTTGGTATGACTGACAAAAGACATAAATACATTCTTGTGCACAGACTTGCATTTAGAGCTCCAGAATATGCCAGCTCTTTTTTCATCAAGGTTGGCCTGCAGCCTGTTGTAGTTATTGGTTCTTTTCTTGGGGGAGTCTTGAAGGAGCACTCTCGTTTTATTTTGTTTCTCTGCTTTTCTGTGTCTCTTTCTAGGTTTTATTGCATCTGATATGACTTCCAGGAACTCCAGTACCCAGCTGTGGCTGATCACCCACTACCACGAGATGGGCTCTCTGTATGACTACCTGCAGCTCACCACCCTGGACACGGTCAGCTGCCTGCGCATCGTCCTGTCAGTCGCCAGCGGGCTGGCTCATTTGCACATCGAGATCTTCGGCACGCAGGGCAAGCCGGCCATCTCCCACCGGGACCTGAAGAGCAAGAACATCCTCGTGAAGAAGAATGGGCAGTGCTGCATAGCAGATCTGGGTGAGTTCAGTGCAGTTCAGCTCTCAGACGTGAAAGCCTTAGAGGAGCCTTGGGACAGCCCTGACCACAGCTGCTGTCACCCTGGAGGTGTCCGACAGCCACTAGGTGGCACTTAGAGCTTATCGACCTCCCTGCTGCCGAGGGGCCAGGGCAGCCTCTGCCTTCTGGGGCAGAGCTGAAAAGTGGGGCCTTTCCTTGGTTTTCACAGGGAAATTCCACATGGATCCCGGCAGACAGGAGCAGTTAGCCTTCAGCTCATTTCTGTACTAAGAAATGCCCTGACACCTACAGCACTCGCTGTCCCACTCTCTGTAGGTCTGTCCAGCATGAATCTTTAGCCAGACACTTCAGTGAGCCCAAAACTGGGTTCTCCATGAACATCTGGTTTAGGCTTTGAGCTGGTAGTACATTGAGAAACATCTGTAGCAGTTTGGCTCGTTTGCACCTTGAGCATATGTGTGACTGTACTTTTTTCCTTTCTCTGGTGGATGACAAGGGAGAAAATAGTGGTAGAAGAACAGTATTGGGGGTTCATTGGCTGGGCAAAGTGTAGTGGAAGATGGGATTGTTTTCAGTAATAATTCTACTGCATATTTCCAATGACTTCTACCTGGAAGACATAGGAGACACACAGAGAAAACATGAAAGCCATGTACCTGGGCCTGTCTAAATTTGCAGAGGGAATAGCAAGTAAAAAATGGAGTAGGAAATTGAATATACAAAGCTTCAAAGATTGGCTTTTAAACCAATTTGTAGTTCACACTGAGAGGGGGCAGCACATATGGGCATTGATTGACATCACACTAATCAAGTGAAATCTACTACATTGGATCAGAAGCCTCTAGAGAAATAGAGAGGTTTTCTGACAGAGCAGTGCAGTAAACATTTCCTTGGGGATTTTTTGATGGTAAAGTAGCTGTTTTTTGAATTATGAAATCCCCAGGCATGTGTCTGACATGTCCTTTGGGGTTTTTTTTCCTTATCTATAAAGGAGAGTTACCAGAGAGTTTGTTGCTTCTGCCATGCCATATGTTCATGCCTTGCTGTATAGCTGTGTCATGTTTTTCCTCCTCTGGTCTCTGTTTCAGCACAAGCACCACATAAGACAAGTGGCACTTAAGAGATTGGCAGGTGTGAGCAGGTAGAAGGGCTCACTGCAGCTGCCCAGAGCTAAGCTGGACTTGGGCTCTGCTGGTCACAGCAGTCTCTGGAGGGGCACTGTGCCCATTGAGAACAGGGCTCAGCTCTGCAAGCACAGAGGACTGAGGTCTCTGAGCACCCCAGCTGTTTTGGCAGCAGCCTGGCTGCTGTACACCTGGCCTGCAGTGTAGCCTGGTGGGTGCTGCCCTTCAGTGCTGGTGCTTCTGGCTGGCACATTTGAGGAGCTTTGAGAACTGGCTGCTTGTCCTCTGGCAGGCATGCTGGAAAGGAGTACCTTGAGCAGCAGCCCATGTACCTGGATTGCAGTTAACAAACCTCCAGCAATGTTCCAGCTAAGCAGAAACTGTGATAAAGTCCAGGGATGGGTGTCAGTCTCTCTGCAATCTGTCACTGCTGGGGAAGAGTCCTGCCCTGCTCATTCCAAAGCAGTTTGCTCCATGGTAATAGGTCTTTGTTGAGCAACTTGATAAAGAGCAGAATAGTGCTTATAAAGGAGGAAGATCCCAGCTCCCTTCCCTTGCCCACCACGTGCAGGACTGGATGGCCCAGGGGAACAAGTACTGGTATTTGTAAGGGAGGTGCAGCGAATGCTAACAAAACGTATTGGCTCAATGTTTGGTTTTAGCAGATACTCCAAGACACCAAGAAATCCTCTGTATTGTACTGAAACCTGGAGTGTTTCACTCATTTGTATTCCTGTCAAGCTTTTGTGTATGGGCTCTTCTGACAGGCACTTGTGTGTCCATAAGTGAAGTTACTACCTGCCGAGATGAGAAGGCATGGGAGCAGTGTGGTGTCTGCTCCCCAGCTCTCATAAACACCACAGATGTCACCATGATGAGAATCTGATTACAACAGCATTGTCTCCTGACCTTATTGCAACACTTGCTTGGTTTGTAGTGTGCGGGTTGCTGACTTGCATCCCTCAGCCAAGAACCTTTGACCTGTCAATCTATTGAATCTGTTTTGCTGAGTTTGGATGGAGTGTGAAGATTTTTATCAAAGCATTCTCTAAAGGCTTCATGTCTTCAGAGTTTGCCAGGAAATCTGTTTTCTAAGCTTTGTTTCCAGTGTGCAGGGTTTTTAAAAATGTGATCCATAATATCGCATAATATAAATTAATGTAAAGAAAAACACATATATAAATGTATAACTGTGAAAATATGTCCCGTGTGTGTGTATGTATCTATGACAAATATTTTTATCTGAAGAGCAGGCTTTCCAAATTCTCTGCTCAGCAGTCATGGACTTAGTAGATGGTATCTTTCTAGAAGTGCCATAAGTGTTTTCTTAGCAGCTTGAAATTACTTGAAGTGCATTTAAATGGAAGGAAAATTTTTTCCACATTTTTGTTACAGTGAAGAATTGACCATTCTTTGGAAAGAAGTACAACACGGATACAATAATAGGTTAATTTTCTGTGGGACTGGGTTAAAAAGCTTTTTAAGTTGGATCTAAAATAAACTCCAGTTAAATGTAGGTAGTATATGTTATACTTACAAGAGCTGTTGAGAAAATTAGGGAGAGTTTGTGTCATCTTCTCTATTGCTTAGTTATGTCATGCACCTGTTGCTGTTCAATTTGCTGTGCTCTCTGTTTACCATGGCAAAATGAGTGCTCTCTGTGTTTCTCAATTTGCAGTAATTTAGTCCCTCGCATAGTGTTCTTTGCTTAAATGTTTAGTAATTAGAAGAGACCAGGTAGAGTGGTTTTCACTGAGTCATTTTAGATCAGCTTGATGATGTTTATTTTTCAAACTACTGCAAATAATGGTGTTTTTTATTTTCCAGCTTTATTTTCTAAGTTGTATATTCGTATGTATCCGTAATGCAGTGTTTTTCTTCTCTCTTCCCCGCAGTTGGGATGTGTCCACCTACCCAAAAGTCTATAAATAGAGTGCCATGTAAAATTGTTTTCTTCCAAGCAGCAGATGCCTGCCCTCTGTGTATACGTGCCTAGAGCGCTGGTGACATCCAGTGGCTGCGAAACACTTAATGACAGCATTTTGCAACAGAGCAGTAACATGCTTAATGGTAATCCCTGAGGAGATAATTGGTCTAGGTCTATGGACACTGGCAGTTCTTGAGAGCTAGTTTGGAGCTGACCCAGTTGGTCCTTGGACACTTGGACTCTCAGCTCCTTTTCAGGAAGCTGCCTGACGGGTGTCACTGCTCACGTGCCTTTTGGACTGACGTGCTGTGGTTCTAGGGGGGACTGACACTGCTGTTTTCTCTCTCCTCCAGGTCTGGCAGTCATGCACTCCCAAAGCACCAATCAGCTGGATGTGGGGAACAACCCCCGTGTGGGCACCAAGCGCTACATGGCTCCAGAAGTGCTGGATGAGACCATCCAGGCCGACTGCTTCGACTCCTACAAAAGGGTCGATATCTGGGCCTTCGGGCTGGTCCTCTGGGAGGTGGCCAGGCGCATGGTGAGCAATGGTGAGTCCTGGGCTCCTCTGCTTCTTTGCAGGACGGCTTCAGCAAAGGGTAACTCATGGTAAAGCCTCTGCCACCAGAATGCACAGGACACACAGTGAAATATTTCCACACACATCCGAAGTGTTTTGATTCCTGACACTTGGCTGCCCGTGGTGAAGTTGTCGGTATGCTGGGTACGATGGCTGAGTGGTTTTGACATTTCTGTTTAGGCAGAGAAGGAAGAGGGTTCCCTACATCTAAAATTGTGATGAGAAATAATTAATTCCAAATAGTCAAGTTAAAATTTTAAATCATGAAGTCTCTAAGGTTTTTCCTTGTGTTGTTAAACCACAGTGAATACTCTTAGGTGACTGTTTCTTCTGTCAACACATAAGGAACAGGAAAAAAAAATGTTAGAAGTGATCAGAATTCAGGAATGCTCTTGCTTTACTGAGTCAAATGCACTGACAAAGCAGGACTCTGTCAAGATACAGTTCTGCTTGGGAAAGGTCCCTTTCCAGTCCTGTTTTGTAGTGCACAGAGTTGCTTTGTTAGTAAGGGAGTCTGAATTTAAGAACCTTTAAACTGGGCATCTGTTGGTATGTTTTCTTGAGCTTGTCAATTCAGGAGTGCTTTCTCATGTCTGAAGCTCAGGCTGTGTTCTCTGGACCCAAGGGACAGGAGAAGGCAGCAGATGGCCTTCAGGGCTTTCTCTGTGATGGAGAGAGCAGGGCAACCTGTGTGGTTGGACAGCTCTTCTAGTGGTGTGTCACTTGCAGGGTCCATGGGGAGCAGCTTCTGTCTCCCTGGAAGCTGGTGGCAGTCATGGGGCTGGCTGCAGGAGCCCGGGAACTTCCATAGACTTTTGGTGTGGTGGTTGCTGCTCAGGATTTCTGGCTGTTGCTATAAGTAATTACATTTCCTTTCACTGGTTTGAAATGAAGTGAACATTTTCTCTCAAATCCAAATGTTTAACTGTGTGGAAATCGCTACTTCATCGGGTGGTCACTCAAATAACCCTGTTTGATTTGTTGGAAGACTGGCATGGGAAGTGAGCACGCTGAAGGGAGCATGGTCGTGTGGACTGGTGGTGGTGTGTCTTGGGAGAGCTAGAAGCACTTGTCAGTTGTCTGGGATAGACACTTTTGCTGCTGTCCCACACTGATGTCTTCTCATTTTCTGGGTGGAAATGCAGAGTCTGTTCCAGTGAGTCAGCCTGGCTTAGTACTTGTGTTCATGTAGACTCTGAAGTTGTTGTAATCTGACTAATAAGTCTGATCTTTTTAATATTCTTATTTTTAAATTTTATTTTTAAATGTTTATTTTTAATTTATTTTTTTATTTAACCTACCTAATGGTCCTCAAGGTGATGCCGTGATGCTCGATACTCTTCTGTCGTGGCTTAGTGTAAGGAGCAAAACGTGGTAGTAAACTCCTTCAGCACAACCAAGAGTGCTGGTGTATCATCTTTGTGCTGTAGCAGAAGCCTCTCGGCACATCTCTCTGTAGTTGAAAAATGTGATTGAAACTCCCAAATCAGTGTTTTGCTCTCTTGAAGCAGAGCAGTGCTTGCTCCTTGCAGGCTGGCTGTTCACTGCTTTGGAATGTGCTCCCTTCCCAGTGCACAGTGCTTTGCTGCATCCTTCCTGACCTGTCACCTGGCACTTACAGTCCTGTTCCTTGGGAATCTTCACAGTCATTCCTAGTGTTGAGATCTTGTTCAATTTTGGTAATAAGGCCAGAAAGCCAGTTACTGCCCAAAGCCAGCCCTGGGGGATGACTGTCCATCTGCCAGGCTGTCCATTGCTTGGAGGCCTGTGTAGGACCTGCTTTGCTCCAGCAGCTGGATTTGTGCATGCACAGGACCAGCTGGATTTGTGCATGCACAGGACCAGCTGGATTTGTGCATGCACAGGATCAGCTGACATTAAAGTAATGAGGAATAAAGGTGAAGAAAAGGCTGCAGTGTGTGTGAGTTACTTCAGTTTAAGACTAATGTGTATTAGATCTGCTCTCTGCCACAGATCTGTTTTCCTCATCTGTGGACAGTCTGTGTTGGAGCAAGTGTGTTCCTGACTAGGATGAGTTAGAGCAATCCTCATCCTCACTCTGCCTTTGCTCAATGAACTTAGGAATCATAGAATCATAGAATCTTAGGGGCTGGAAGGGACCTCGAGAGATCATCTAGTCCAACCCCCCTGCCAGAGCAGGGTCACCTAGAGTACATCACACAGGAACTCATCCAGGTGGGTTTTGAATGTCTCCAGTGAGGGAGACTCCACAACCTCCCTGGGCAGTCTGTTCCAGTGCTCTGTCACTCTTACAGTAAAAAAATTTTTTCGGATATTCACCTTGAACCTCCTATGCTCCAATTTACACCCATTACCCCTTGTCCTATCACTGGTCATCACTGAGAAAAGCCTAACTCCGTCCCCCTGACACTCACCCCTTACATATTTGTAAACATTGATGAGGTCACCCCTCAGTCTCCTTTTCTCCAAGCTAAAGAGACCCAGCTCCCTCAGCCTTTCCTCATAAGGGAGATGTTCCACTCCCCTAATCATCTTCGTAGCTCTGCGCTGGACTCTTTCGAGCAGTTCCCTGTCCTTTTTGAACTGAGGGGCCCAGAACTGGACACAATACTCCAGATGTGGCCTCACCAATGCAGAATAGAGGGGGAGGAGAACCTCTCTTGACCTACTAACCACACCCTTTCTAATGCACCCCAGGATGCCATTGGCCTTCTTGGCCACAAGGGCACATTGCTGGCTCATGGTCATCCTCCTGTCTACCAGGACCCCCAGGTCTCTTTCACCTACACTACTCTCCAACTGGAGAGAGTCCTTGGAGTATCCCTGGTGGTGGATGGGGGGCTGGCCCCAGGAAGGAGGCGAGGAGAGCATGTCACAGGTCTAGGCAGCTCAGGTGGGTGGGACAGAAGTGACAGGGGCTCTGCCGAGCCAGCCCTGCTGGGGTGGGACATGGGCTGGTCCATTGCTCAGTCCCGGCTCTGCTGGAGAGAAGGCCAGAGCCAGCCCAGCTCATATCCAGTACTGTGTGTCTTCTCTGACCCAGCCAGCTCCAAACCCTGTTCTGTGGAAGGGAACTACATGAGAATAGTGAATGAGCCAGGATCAAGTTCTTCTGTAATACCCTGGTGGCCCTGGAAACGGCGTGTGACGCAGCTCAGGCTCTGCAGTTGGGTCCTATGAAGCCTCTGCTTCATCTGAAACACAAGTATAGGCAGTATGGAGACACAAGGCTTGTACTCTGAGTAAACTCTGTTTTGTGTTCTGGGTGGAAGCAGGAGGGGTTTAAAATCACAGAATCACCAAGGCTGGAAAAGACCTTTAAGATCATCAAGTCCAGCCTATGACCTAATACAACAAAACCCAACAGTTCAGCCCTTAGGTGCTGTTTGGTGCATGCAGTTGTGAATAGCTCAAAGTCGGAGGCTGGGGGATGCTGCTTGGCACAGCATGGCATGAGCTCTGTTCCTCTGCATCCATGTCAGAATGCCCCAGGGCCAACCAGCAGTGTCCTGGTTACTTTGTTAGGGTAACTTACTTGGGTATCCACATCTTTGAGCTGTCCTACTGTTTTCTAAGGGAGCTGTGATTTCCTGAAGACTATTTTCCTTTTCAACTAGTCATCATAAATGGGGATTTAAAGTTTTTTTACTGAGAATCCATGGGATTTTCATCTTCACCTCCACTAGAACAAGAAAACTAAATCCCAACCAGTGTAGCAAAGTTTGAGAACCTCTTTTTCAACTCCAGTATATCCAAAGCAATGGAAATTCTCCTCTATTCTTTCTCCATGTCTGTCTGTGGGACAGCAGCCAGTCTGCTAAAAAGCAATTTGAACATTGTTCTGCCTGTGTTTCTACTGTACATAGAGGGCCTCATTTGCTCAGTGTTTCTCCAAGCTGCTGTCCCAAATATGTGCCATTGAACACCACTTTTTATATTGGCTTCCTAAGCAAGCTGAGCTCCCTATAGATCCATTTGTGAGCTTAATCCACTGATGAAAGAGCAGTGCTGCTTGCATGCCTTAGAGTAGGCAAAAGGCTTTTTGGGCTGCCAGTTTTATGTGAGCTGTGACAGGCTGGGAGAGCACACACACACAGACTTATTCTCAATGCAGAATCCTAGAATCCTGATGTCTACTGGATGTCACAGGCTCTCAGGTGTTTGGTTTTGTGATGGCATGTGGTGCCAATTACTCTAGATCTATTACTATTTTAGTAACTAGAACTAAAATCATGTGAAGCACCAGCATGAGGGTCTGTAGATGCTGCCATGCTTATTGGGCTCTTTCAGGAATCATAGAACGATGCCAAGTGTGTGGTAAGCCTATGAAATAGTGCTGTGCTAGTCAGCAAAGCTCCCTGTTACAAAAGATTTGGCAAGTGACTGTTTCTTGTCATTTCAGCTTAAGCATCTGCAAAATGTAGGTAGTTTTTATTTTGTGTAATTGTAATATGAGCCAAGTAATTAACATTTCCTACGATAGTGTGATTCTGTTTAATGGCTGCTTGACACTGTGGTGTTAACTTTTAAAGATTCTTGTGCTATTTAGGTGGCCGTGTTATCACCTGTTCTCTCTTCCTGTGTAGAAGTGCTGTTTCACTGACACAGTTATTAAATAATGCCTCTCTTGTCTGCCCCTCACTAGGCATTGTGGAAGACTATAAACCCCCGTTTTACGACTTGGTTCCCAACGATCCCAGTTTTGAAGACATGAGGAAGGTGGTCTGTGTAGATCAGCAAAGACCCAACATTCCCAACAGATGGTTCTCAGACCCTGTAAGTGGGGGTGGCTGGGGGTGGTTTGCAGAAGATGTGAGCTGACCTGTTGCTTTTTGAAATAGTTATTGAAGTTATTTTCAGCTATCACTTGAAACAGGAACGATCCCAGAGCTCCCTGCCAGAAGCACCACCTGTACTGATTCCAGAAGCATGCTGGTGTGGAGCTTTGTCTTGGAGCAGGAAGAGAACACAGTGAGCAAACTTAAGACTGTTGAGTCTGAGCTACTCACAGATGAGCCTTTTAGTAGCAGGATTTAACAGTAATTATTTTAAGCTGCTCTTCCTGTGCTGTTACTGTCTCTCCAAGGGGAGGTCTCTCTAAGGGTGAGGTAGCCTGTGTAGGCCTTTCTGTGGCTTACGGGCATGCAGAGTAAGAGCAGAACTTTGGTGTCTCTCCTGCCTGCAGAACAGGGACTGCTGTTCTTTTTGAAAGGCTGGTACTGAAGTGTATTTTTCTTCATCAGAATCAGTCTGGACTCTCCAGGTTGACCAACTGTTTTGTTCCCTGTTACTGAAGCAATGAGGGTTGGTTTGAGTCTGTGCAGGGCCGGCAAGGAGAGGTTTTGGTTGCACAACTGTGGCCTGTGGTGCTGCAGCAGCCAGCTGTGAATCCCAGCTGTGAATCCCAGCTGCGAATCCCAGCTGTGGATCCCAGCTGTTCAGTGCTGCTGGACACCAGGAACTCACAGGCAGAAAATCTGCACCTTCTCTGGCTTCCATCATTGAGCTTGCCAGGAGTCAGTTGCATTGAAGAGCTTAGGTAGAGTGTTCTCCTAATTAGAAAAAAACCCAAACTCTTTTTTTTTTTTTTTTTTTTTAAATTACACTGGCTTGTCACTCCAGTCAGCCCATTGTCTAGTTATTCTCTTGGTTTAACCAGTTTCTCAAACCTGGGTTTTTTCAGCACATGAAAACTGTGTAGTGGACATACAGCAATAAACTCTCAGTAGGGTCTGAAAATTGAGTATTAATAAGGCAATAAAACCTTATTGTGTTAGTACTGAACCCAGCCTAGTGCTTCTTAGCTTGCAACCTGTGTACCTACCTGTGTGTTTTGTTCTTTCCCCAGACATTAACATCTCTTGCCAAGCTGATGAAAGAATGCTGGTACCAAAATCCATCAGCAAGACTAACAGCCCTGCGAATCAAAAAGACTCTGACCAAAATTGACAATTCCTTAGATAAACTGAAAGCTGACTGTTGACCTTCTTCTCGTGGTGCTCTCCTGACAGGAAGGCATTTGTCTGGTTCACAAGTGGTCTGGCCAGGCAGTTTCTAGGCTGGGTCCCCGTGTGGCTGCTTGCAGAGGCAGAGGTGGGTACCAGGCGTCTGCTGGAGGCATCGGGACCGCCTGGACTTTGCTCAGTGACTACAAGGGGCATTTCACACATGGTCAAGCTGTAAAGACTCACGCTGGATGGACTGTTGCAAAGGTAGTGGCCTGAAGGAAGACAGAGAAATCCTAAGACAAGATCAGGGCATTAAATAATGGCTTTGAACAGCTTTTTTTATTCTTTTTTTTTTTTTTTTTTTCTTTTTTTTTTTTTTTTTTTTTTTTTTTTTTTTTTTTTTTCCTTTAATTTTAATTCTCCTAATCACTCCCAGGGTGAACACATGGAAGTGGTAAATTTTAATCAGCAATATTGCCTGTGCTTCTCTTCTTTATTGCACTAGGAATTCTTTGCATTCCTTACTTGCACTGTCACTGTTAATTTTAATGACATGACTTGCCAAAAATATGATTGGCTGTATACTACATTGATCTATGCCTGAATAATAGGAAATTAATTTGGTAAACTGAAAATGTAACTGTCAGATTTTAGCTGCATTTTACATGTGTACTGATGTTTACAATAATGCTGAACACTAGGAATTTCTCGTTTATACAAAACTTGCAAATTATTTATTACTAGTGCACTTGCCAGTTTTTTAAACTGTAAAATAAGTGCATAAAGTTAAAGCTTATTTTTATGTGGCCTCTTTCATGATTTCTTACACAGATGTTTTTGTAACACAATATAACCTGAAACATAAATTGTTTTCTGTATTATCATATTACAACTCGATAGTCACATTTTAAGTGCTTCACATTTGTAGGTGTGTGGTCTGTAATATATTTTCAGTTCAAGTACAGAACATATATATAGCCATTACCCACACGACCTTGTGTCTAGTATCTTACTGATCTAGAAGAGGAAAGCAATGGAGGAATTAACTAGAATTTTAGGTCATGAATGCTGTGGGGAAAATGCATTTTATTTCTTCTAAGCTATATAATATGCATTTAAACTCTGCCAGAAAAATAACTATTTTGTTTTAATCTACTTTTTCTATTTAGTAGTTATTTGTATAAATTAAATAGAATGTTTTCAAGTCAAACACCAGTGTTTTAGTTCTCTTACTGCCTGTTGGTACCAGGTGTCCCAGTGCAGCAGGTGACCAGGTCAGTGCTGGGTGGAACACCAAGGGGCAGAGCCTGGGAACAGCTGTTTGTCTGGGTGTGCTTTTCCTGTGCTGAGCTGTATCCCAAAATAGTACAGCAGGGAACTGGTGTGCTCTTTGGACGTGGCAGCAAAGCTTCTAGAGTGTGTCTTGCAGAAGGTGTTAGTCCCCAGCCTTGGGAAGGCGTTCTGCTTTGTACCAGAGAACTGCTCTCTCTGCCTGTACCTCTTGATGCTCTCATCTTATTCTGCCTAGTGGAAGTGTCCCTGCCCTTTCCTCCTTGGAGAGGAACTCCTTAATTTCTGGGCTTTATTATCCTTCAGGTAATCTAAGGACCTGGGTAGTATTCAGCCATTCAAACATGTTTGCTCTCTGGGTTAAAAATGTTTCTGAGGTTCCCTTCTGTGCTTGAAGGCTGCCAGATGCTGCTGTCCTCTGCAGGGCTTCCACCCCTGCCTGCCTGTTCCTGCACTGCTGTGTAGAGCCAGCAGCCAGATGTGTGGCATGGGCACTGCCTGGGACCATAGGTCTGGTTGGTACCAGCTCTCTTCATGGCACTGGAGGGGAGTCTGAGCAGATCAGTGCTGAAAAAAACACAGGAAAATCAGGATCGGATTAGTTTTTATTGTTGGTTTTTAATAGGAAGTCAAAGGCTCAGTTGAGCCTGAATGCATTCCAGTTTGCTTTAAACTGGTTTGTGTATGTGATGCGTGCTGGGCTAACTGGTTAATAACAGCAGCCCAGGAGGGGAGAGTGTTTCAGCAGTGACAGGAGTGAGTCAGTCTGTGGGGCTGGAGGTGCTGCATGAGAGGAAGGAAGGAAGGACACCTGCACTGTCTGACAGTTTTGCCTCAGGTTCTGCAGTTCCAGATGCCTGGTGCACACGTACTTCCGACAAGCATTGGTGTTTTGGAACAGGCATCAGTATTTAAAACAAAAGGGAGATGAGGCAGCCTGCCAGTGGAGGTGCCAGGCTGCTGCAGTGCTGGGAGGGGAGGACACGGGGGTGTCTGGACTGTGGAGCAGGACAGGGGAGGTGGCTCTGCAGAGAGAAAGGGATGGAGCTGGAGGAGAGATCTCAGAGTGCAGTATCAGCTCACAGGGATGGTTAGGATTTTAACTTGCAGTTTTCACATCTTCAGCATGTTCCAGGACAGGTGTTGAAGGAAAGAGAATCTCATGCTGCTGCTGTGGCCATGCTGACTGAACTTGTGATGCCTTTCTCATGGGCTGACCTCCTGAGTCACAGCATCTTCCTGGGCACCAGGGAAGGTGGTCGTGGTGAAGACTTGGTCTGTCTCTTATTTGTGCTGTAGCATCTAAAAAGTGCTGTGTATGTAGAAGGACATGACTTCAGGCTGGAAGGGGCTCCTTGTGCTCTAGAGAGCTTCACTCTGGAGGTCTGAATGTGCTGGGTACTGGTCTGTGTGCTGTGCAAGGACAGGATGGGATGCTGTGCGAAGGGAGGGGACAGTTCTCCAGGGCTGGGCACTGGGAACCACTGGTCTTTTCCCAGTTTGGGTGCAGACTTGACTTAGGAGCTTCAGTGTGACTGGACTCTTGGCTGTCCCTGCCTATAAAGCAGAGTTACCCAACTAAAGGATAAAAACACAAACTATAAAAATGCCCCAGTAATAACCTGTTCATCCTGTGTTAGGTAAAGAAGATTATCCAAGCAAGCAACTGGCAGGGTAAAACAGCCTGTCCAGTGCCCAGACTCCTGGGCACTCACCGGTGTGCATGGCGAGGTCATTTTAATTGGTGCTGCTGCTAGAAGCTTTTGGTTGCAATCAAAACATCCAGGGATTATTTTAAACAAAATTCACATTCGTGCCCTGCTAACGAAGTCTGTTTGGCACAGGGTAACTATTTTTTTTTCGTTAGTTAGGTGACTTTGGCAAACTTGAATTGAGAAAATTGAGTGGGAATAATCATAAGTAGTAGTTCCTTGGCAATTTCCTATCCCTTGACTTAGCAGTAAGCTATTCAGCACTGTGGTTTTCTAATGTCTAGTTGCCCCTGAGGACAGTCAGGGTCCATGCTTTCAAAAACCAGCAGAAATAGCAGTGTTGTGAGCAGCCCCCTTGGGAGCTAGGGGGTGGTGCACCTGGGAGCAGAGAAGGAAAATCTCACTGGTGGCCAATGAAGGATTAGCTGTCATCTGTGTGATTTAACCTCCTTTTCAAGTGTCTGGACAGGCAGAGGAGAAAATTTGTTGCTGCTTTTCCCCTCAAGGTGCCAAGGCTTGGGCAGCTGAGGACAGTTTCCAGGTGACGTATGGGAAGATAACACCCTCACCTCCCAGCCTGTTCTTCCAGCACATCTATTAGTTGATGTGCCTCTAGTACCTCTATAAAATCTAATCTTCTAAAGAGATTTGGAATGCTTTCTGGATAATCTGCCGCATTAAGGGCGTTGCTGTATTTATTACTATGCAGATGGCACAAGCAGTTCCATAGTTGAAGTTGAATTATTCATGTGTCTGGCAGATTTGCACTGTATGGATCTGGGGTGCTGTCATCCACACAGTGGCTGGCCATCTATCAGAGCCCTAGTAAGAAGAGGTTGCATGTAAAAAATAAATGACACATCAGCAGATGAGGAGCACTGTGATTCAGCTGTCCTGTTGATAGGAGTGACCTCCTGCCAAGTTACAGGAGGAAGGCTGGGTGAAAAACAGAGGTACTTTTGATTATGAGGGGAGGTTGTTGCTTTCTGTTTGGATTTATCTCTTTCATATGCAGAAGGCAGGTTGATTATTGGTTAGGAATGTCACACTTTTAACAGGTGTCCTGGGAACAGATGCCTAAGCAGCCCATGGCCAGCAGCTCCTGTTAGTGTTGCTGTAGTGAAGTCACTGAAGGTTTCCTCCCACTTGCCTGTAACTTTCCTTGAGGGCTTTTTGTGCTGGAATTTTACAGGAGAAATCCATATCAAGCCTTCCAGTATTATTTTTTATTTGCCTGGATTAAACTATTTTGATTGGGAGGGACAAGGAGGGATTCTCTTCCCTGCAGAGCAAAACGTCTGCTGTGCAAGACCAGCCTTGGCCTGGTGGTTAGCATTGGAGGAGGGAAACAAAAATGTTGCATGTGCTGTTCCATTTATATAGAAAGAAGTTAAATTTTCCTCAAACACAGAATACATTTTTACATTTTAAAGCTAAGATTGGTGTGGAAAAAGCATTTTTATCAAATGCAGAGTTAATGATGTACTGTGACAAATGCTCTCACCTGGGAATAGCACATGTGCTTCATCCCCAGCTGGAAGAGAAAACCCACTACACTTCTGATGCCTGAAACAAGAAATGGTGCCAAGACACAAGCCACAGCACACCAGGAAAGCCAAGAGCAACCACGCTTGGTGTGTATCGGTCCTGGCCCATCGCGGTGGAGGAAAGCCTGCAAAAAGAACATCTAGTCCTCGTGGAAGAGAAGCTGGGACCTTCTCTGTGGAAAGTGTGGTCTCTCACTGGTTATGGACTCATCTTGCTACCTCCAGATCCTTCATGGTGGAGAGCGGTGTGAAGTCTGCAGAAGGGATCTTCCAAGGGGTTTGGGACATCTGCTCGCTGGGTCAACCTGTTCTGTGCCAGCCAGGCTGCACAGAGGTCCAGGAACGTGGTCCTCTTGGGGATGATGGCCTGTAACACAACACACCAAAGTGCCTGCCAGCTGTCAGACTGGGACACTTAGTTCTTGGGTTTTGTTTTATTATTTTTTTTAAAGATGTCTCCCTTTCCAGCACAGTTGTTGCCATATGTTGCTCTGTGTGTAGTGGCGTTTGTCCCAGCAACCTGTCCAGACCTGGGGGTGTAGCCCTGGCAGAGCAGCACAGGAGCTGGTGTACACGTCGTGCCCTCTGGGCTGGTGTAACTCCTCAGGACTCTTTATGCTTCCAGACCTAATAAATATCTCTGCTTGTTCCTGACCAAAACGTTCCTCCATTGTACTGATGTGTGGGCAGCGGGTGCTGTGCAGGGCTCTGCTTTCTCCAGTGGGGCAGGGTGACAGGGGAGGCAGCTGGAGGTCAAGGCTTTGCCCAAGGACATGGAGCTGAGCAG